CCTCTGGCCTCTGCAAGGGCATAGATGCACACCCTCACCCCACCACCCCCATCACACAAAGACATATAAATGTTTACAAATTTTACAAATAAAAATTTACAAATGTAAATAAATAAATAAGCCCAGAAATGCACTCTTACAGAGTTCTGAGGACAAAAGTCCTATATCTGTAGCCTTGAGTTGAAACCAGGGTATCAACGGGAACTACACAGTTCCTGTGGCCACCAACATTTCCTGACTGGTGGTGCCATTACTCCCAGCTCTGCTTCCATGATCACAAGGCATCCCTTTTATCTGTATAGTCTGCCTCTCTCTCTCATAATGACGTTTATAATGATATTTAGTGTCCTCCCAGATAATTGAGGGTAAACTAATCTTAAATCCTTAATTTACCTGTGAAGGCCTTTGTTCTAGGGAGGGTCACACTCATGGTTTCTTTCATGATTCTCATGAATGGAGACAAGGATGCCCTCTTCAGGGAGACAGTATGTGTATCCTAGTCTATAACAGTGGGGGAAAGCAAGGAAGAGGAGGAAAGGACTTTGAGATCTCAGACCCTCCTACTTGAAGGGTTACCCTCCTTTAGAATAAATATCATTGTCAGCTGGCCTCTTCTGATGTCACTAGCAGGATGGTTGCTCTCTGTATGCACTAGGGGCCGCTCAGAGCTGTGACTGCAGGAACAGTGAGGACCTAGGACCTTAGCCACTGTCTTCTAAAGCTCACTGTGCTCAAGAGGAAAAGACCTCGCTTCCAGCCTTTCCTTCCTTTCTCAGCATCCTTTTTTTTTTGGGGGGGGGGGGGGAAGCTCCCTACCCAGGCTTGATCACCCTCCGCATGCTGGAGGACAGAGCTCTCATCCTTTGGTCATCTTCAGAGCTGGTTCTGTTTGGGTCTCGTGTTTGACACTGAGGTAGTCACTATGGCCAAGGTGTCAGAGGCTCTGATTAGCTGGGTAACGTGTCCACCTCCCACAGGTGGGGTGGAGCCAGCCTGTCTAGAACCATATAGGTTTAGAGCTGGAAAAAGCAGTTTGCCACTGAGAAAGGCTACAGGGAGGGAAGGCCCTGGTACAGGTAAGAAAACTGTCCTGCCTTTCCGAGACAGTGTGCCTCAGATGAGGAGACACGGAGACCTCTGCAGAAAAGTTCCACTGTGTTTACAGACTGAGTAGACTGTTGGCTCAAGTGGGAAAGGCCCTTCTGGTTCCTATTGGGAGCTCTGCACATTTTATAGAACCCCGGGTGAGAGCTTAGGGGCATTCAGGCCATTCCTTTTACATTTCTGTTGGCATCTGATCCATTGGGTTATGGAATATTCCTTTATACTGTGTGTGTAAATATATTTCACTGTGATTGGCTTAATAAAAAAGCTTAAATGGCCAATAGCTAGGCAGGATTTTGAGGGCAGAGAGTGCTAGGGAGAAGAACGACAGAGTCTGGTTAGTCGCCAACTGGATGAGAGGAAGCAGCATGAAAAGATGAGGCAAATGAGCCTTAGGGCAGAACACAGATTAATAATAAAAGTTATAAGAGCCAGCTAAAAACAAGCCTAGGTTGGCTGGGCAGTGGTGGCACACACCTTTAATCCCACCCAATCTCTGTGAGTTCAAGGCCAGCCTGGTCTACAGAGCGAGGTCCAGGACAGGCTCCAAAGCTACACAAGAGAAATCCTGTCTAAAAACAAAACAAAACAAACAAACAAAAACCAAAACAAGCCTAAGCTATTGGCCGAACATTAGAGCACGCATAATTAATACGTCTCTGTGTAATTATTTAGGAGCCAGCAGTCCAGACAAAAAACTCTGCCTACATTGGGTCTATACACTAGTTTTTCAGGAACACTGACTCTTCTTACACACACACACACACACACACACACACACACACACACACACACCACAGTTTTCAGAGTCTCTATGCCACCCTGGTAGGTCTGAAATTTACTACTTGCCCAGGCTACCAGAATCCTTGGAGCTGTCCTCTCACCACTGCTTCCTGTCCTGAGTGGTGGGATTGCAGGTGTTCACCACCACCTCTCCTGCCTCCCACAGAACTTTGAAGACTTTGTCACAAACCAGGAAAGACCTTTTGTTCCAAGTACTCTAAAGGATTGTATTAAATCTATATATGAGGGCTGGGCTGCAGCTCAGTGTCAGGACCTTTGCATGGCATAGGTGAGCACTGGGGGATGCATTCCAGTACTCCAAAGTAAGTAAGGAAATGCAAATTTAAGGAATCTCCAGATGGACTTGCGCTTTCTTCCTAGTTAGGAGTTCCCTGGTCTGTCCACTGATCAGTATCTTCTTTAATGTCTTTCAGTTTCTCCAAAAGAAACCTGTACATTTGGAGGGTCTTATTTCCAGGATCTTCACGTTGTTGACACTACTGTGACCATTCCTCTTCATCGATTCATTTTCCTGACTGCTGCCAGCATTTAGCAGTGTAGTCATGGGGCTGGAGAGATGGCTCAGCAGTTAAGAGCACTGGCTGCCCTTCCCAGCACCCACATGGCAGCTCATGGCTGTCTGTAACTCCAGTTGCAGGGGATATGACACCCTCACACAGAGAGGGATAATATACGTAAGCTAAAAATAAATAATTACTTAAAAAAAAGAAATGTAGTCACGACACACTTATATCTTCTATACAATGACCTACCTTTCTAAATTCTATTAATTTAATAATATACTCACAGATTCTGCTGGGTTGCTCACATAGATATCCAAACTGACTATAATAAATGGTGGTCGTGTCTTTTTCCATTAAAATTCTTGTACCTTGACTTTTTTCCCCCAACATTAAAGGGTGTTCCTTGGCTGACCAGGAACTCACTGTGTAGACCAGGCTGGCCTTGAACTCAAAGATCTGTCTGCCTCTTCCTTTCAAGGGCTGGGATTAAAGTTGTTAAAAGCTGGACAGCCATGCCCAGCTTGACTTCTTTTCTATTTTATAGCACCTGTAGGGGAATTGACAAAATAATGAATGGAGGCTTGAGACCAGCATTAGACTGTGTTTGCTGGTGTTGTCTGTGCAGGTGAATTTGTTTATCACACACACACTCACAGAGACAGAGACAGAGAGAGAGGGAGAGAAATACAGACAGACAGACAGACAGACAAAGAGAGAAAGAATACTTCTGCTTGTCCGTTAACAATTGAGCTACTCCTCCAGCGGCAACCTATTTCCTATGGCTGTGTGTTCTGAGTACCACCGAGCAGGTCTGTACCTGTCTATTTCCAACCTGACAGCAGTTTCTGGAGAAAAAGCCTTAACTAAGACTATGTAAATCTTCTGACCTGAACTTGAACTATGGGAAGGGGAGGCAGGGGAGGGGACTCAAGAAAAATGTGTCACCTCCAGGACAGAACGAGAGATGAGACGGGAACACAAGTTGAAGGAGATATGTTTAACCACACACAACATTGCTGTTGGAGGGGTGAGCCTTCCAGTACTGGAAGCATTCAACTGAGCTGGATACCCATTCTATGGATCCCATACAAGATGCTCATCCTCAGTATTTCATGGGGTGTGGGTTATATCCTGTTTCTCATCTTTTGCTTCTTCAAGTCTAAGGTTTTGTTTTTTTAATAAGATCTGTTTGCATAGTGCTTTTGAGGCTGCATTAAATGCAGAGGCTGGTCTTTTGTACATTAATGATATTGATAAACACATATCAAGAGTGAGTTTTAAAAATAAGAGAATAAAAGCACATTAGGATTATTTTCTTTTAATACTTTTTAGAGAGGATTTGGCAAATTGGGGGAGGGGAACCGTGAACAGAATGTATGAAAAATAATTATTCTCAATAAAGAGAAACAAGAAACATCTAGCAGATATATATCATAGATGTATATCCCTTAAATCGTAGAATAAAATCAAATTTGTTATTCTTCATTCCCAGTGTTCTCAAGTTTGCAAAGCCTTTTAAGGTTTCTAAACATAAAAACCACAAGTCTATATGATCTTTTTAAATAACAAACATAATGATCCAGGTGTTCAGTGATTTAAAATCCGGAATAAGGGAGGGAAGGAAGGAGGCAGAAAGGCTAGCTTTATCAATAGAACTGACTGGTTCTTGAATAAAAATAAGGAATTTTGAATGAAGTTTTGAAAATCTTTAAAGATGGAGGATAATTCTGTGGCTTCGTGGTTTTATTTTTACTCTTTCATTCACCACGTTCCTTCTTTCTAGCAAGTCTCCAGTTCGTTGGCAGATAAAAATACATCTGCAGAGTTGCCCAGAAGCTGCGCCATCAACTCCGTAGCCAACAAGCCTCATTTTCTCGTGCCGCTATAGACACGTCTCCCTCCTCTAGTTCACCGGGATCAAAGTCCTTTTCATTCTTAGACGAGTTTTCTCGGAGGAAACCTGAATCCAGAGTTGATCCCAGATGGGGTCAATCCTTGAAGACAGACAGATCGGTAATCATGGTGCGAACGCCTTATCTTCCTGCACAGCCTCGCCCGAGTTGCGCCCCCTCTCTGCGCTCCGTGAGAATACGGCAGGCAAGTCCAGAAATCCGTTACCAGGCTTCTGTATCCCTAAAGGCCATTCCAAAGGCGGAAGAAGATCGGGACAACCTCTGTATTGATTCCCCGGGCCATGCGGGTCGGGAGCGCATCGGGTCGTGTTATGGGCAGGTGAGGCTGGCGGTTCTATGAACCGCAGACACCTGAGCACCCCTGGCTAGACGCGCCCGGCAGCCTCCAGCAGCTGGCACTCGTCTGCTCGCCCCCTGGAGCCGGGCGTCCACGGCGGTGGCTGTGTGGGTTGTTCTGGGCGCAGCGCAACAACGCCTTGGTATAAGGGTATCGGGGTCCCCAAAGTGAGCAAGCCTCCCCTATAAACTTAGTATCTATTACCAGACACATCCACGCCCCCTCCCCCACACTTCCCTTCAGGAAGGAAAACAAAACAAAACAACCCCCCCCAAAAAAAAAACCCTAAAAACAAAAAACTCAAAGCTTTCCCGCCGTCTTCAACGGCGGTGGAGGAGAGAGGGTGTATCAATTTTCAATCCTTGGCTTTCTGGATAGGTCTTTTCTTGCCTCCGAATTTGAGGATCCAGTGGTTAGCGTAGGCAATGGTGGGGACCAGAGAGACTCGCTTTAAATAAGCTTTCTCGTGACTTGCACTTGGCTTTTGTCTTGATTGTTCGTTTATCTTGGGTGAAGGGACACCTGGGGTGCAAGGTTTCGGGGTGGAAGCTGCCTTGGTAACACCAGCTTTATTTTCTTAGACTGAGTGGCACAGATGAGGACAGCGACGTGCTTCAAAGATGCAAGATTTTTAGATTTATTATTGAGGGGTGTTCCAGATGATAAGAAACTTAAGCTCTCAACACCCCTCCCTTTACCTGACAAGCGTCCCGAGGACCCTCCCATATCCGACCACCGAGATTCCAGAAAGCCTGGAAACAGTCCCACAAGGTCCAGAGCCAATTTCTGGCTTGCTTGACCGAAACAAATCCACTTGGGAGGTGGGGGCCAACTCCTGGGAGACCCCCAACTCGTAGGAGAGGTGCGCGAGGCAGTGGACCTGGGGCTTGTTTTAAAGAGTTTATTCTATAAATTGCACGTGATGGAGGTATGAGGCAGAGGGTTGATTTTAAAAATGTTCTTCCCTTTTTTAAAAAGAGGAGGGGGGAAGAATCAGACGTTAAATTCTTTTGCAAACATTCATGCCTAAGGTAGGGCTGGATCAGGCAGCCCCGGCCGCCGGAACCGGTCGGACAGGTAGCGAGCTTGTTGACACCGTTATGTTGCAGGGCGCATGCTCACTCCCAAGTTTCCTGGTGCCTTTTCTATTCCACCTTATGAAACTTTTTCCCCGGCGTGGTCTCACGCGCGATTTAAGGCATAGGTGTCGCCGAGCCCGGAGGCTGCGAGTCACCCGGAGTGAGGGGAGAGGCCGAGGCAGCGCGGCAGGGGGTGCAGGAAGAGGGCAGGCAAGGCGGGAAGGTGGGCTCGGGACTCCGGGAGCCAGGGGATCCAGGCGCCTCCACCGCCACTAGCGGGGAACAGCGGGGAGGAGGGGGCCGCAGTCGGAAGAGGGGATCCCACCATGCCCAAAGTCTTTCTGGTGAAGAGGAGGAGCCCGGGAGTTTCGGTCCGCAGCTGGGATGAGCTCCCGGATGACAAAAGAGCAGACACCTACATCCCAGGTGAGGAGCGTGGGGGCCCGGCCTGGGTGCGGGGCTCCCGGGTGGGGGCAGGGTGACCGCGGCCTTCTGCTCGCGATCAGGGCTGACGTTCCTACCCCTTCCCCCTCTCGACTGGGGTCGTGGGGGTTCTTGAGGGAGGGGGAATCGAGGACCAGGTTGGGAAACCTGGGACGCTCGGTGCTTTCTCCCTAGACAGGGCTAATTGCCTGGCGGCGGGACCGTTGGCTGCAGCGCGGGCCGAGGTGGCCCTGGAAGGGGGTGGGTGGGAGGTACCGAGGGTTTCTTTGCCCCCTATGTCCTCTAAGCCGCACGTAAAGGTCCGCTAACCTCTCTGGAGCGAGGCAAGGCGAGGGCACACCCGCCTCCGCGGGCGCGGGAGAAAACTTGGCGCGCGGGGTTCTCCGCGGCGCATGGCCCTTGGTGCTTCGTGGGCGCCGGGGTGGCCTGAGGACCGGTCTCCCGGCACCCTAAGTTAGTTCGAGGGGCCGATCGCCCGGCTGACTCGTCTACCCTCGGGACGTCGCCCACTTGGCGAAGTGCCCAGGTCCGGGGCGGGGCGGCGGCACCGCCCGCAGGTCAAACTGCCGTGGGCGCCCGGGCGTGACTCCGCGTGTGGTTGAATGTCGGGGTGCGGCCCCCTCCCTCCACAGTGAGCCTGGGCTGTCTGCTCCCCGACCCCCCCGAGGACTGTCGCAGCGACGGCGGCAGTAGCAGCGGTTGCAGCAGCAGCAGCAGTAGCAGCGCTGGGGAGCCCGGAGGCACCGAGAGCAGCTCGTCCCCGCGCGCGCCGGAGCCTGAAACTCCTGAGCTCCACGACGCCGAAGGCCCCGATGGACACCTGGCAGCGATGCAGCGCCCGGTTGCCAGGTCAAAAATCAAGGTAGGGTGTCGACTCTGCCCCCGCCGCCACCTGCACCACGCCCTGGCGTCCGGCTCCGGAGCCCCGGCGCCCCTCCCTGCCGCGCCCGCCCGCGCACGGGGGCCCAGGCGCCGCACGCCGGCGGTCACTCCTGCACCTGCCCCTGGGCGGCAGCCAGGCTCCGCGCGACCTGTCCTCTGTGCCACAGTGCCCGGGTTGCCAGCATCTTAAGCGGATCCAGCCCCCAGGGTGGTGGCCCTGTCTGACGCTGGTAGTGGCCCAGCTATCCGGGTTCAGATGCCCACCTCTCCAAGGCCAGACTATTAACTAGGCGACCCAAGATTTCGGGTGGAGAAGGAGCGCGACCCGAGATCTTAGACGTGATGCCCTCTGGGACGCAGTCCTTGGCACCTCGAGGTCCTGAGAGTTGTGTTTCCCTCCTTGTTTTGGGGACACAGTGAGCCTTGCAATCACCGCTATTCCCAGTGCCCTGGTGGTGGAGCCTGTTAGACGGGAAGCTGGTTGTGCAGGGCACTGTAGATTTGCCTTTTCTCTCAAATCTTCAAGAATTAAATTAGTGGGTAAAAGATGAAAGGGTTCACCTGCAGATTTTTTTAAACGTTCCTACCCTAGTGGGTTGGAATGTCCCCCTCAAAAGCTATAGAAGGCAACGTCTTATCTGGATGGCCATCAGCGCCTTGTTGGGTGAAACTTCCATGACCACCTGTTCAAAGGTATCCGCTACCCCCAGGATTAAGGAATCCTGCCCCGCTGACTCAACGGCCCGCCAGAGGGGGAGGGGAGGCGGCGCGGTTTTTGCATAAACCCCAGGTCCTAGCCTGGCCGGCTATAGTGCCACCTTGTACAATATGAGCCATAATTCTAGGGTGCTCCAGAGTATCGGCTATCCAGGTTCCCAGGCCCATGCAGGGAGGGAAGGGTGAGCCCAAGGGTTAGGCTGGGGATAAAGAAAGCAGCCTTTTCTTTCCCCAGGGGTTGGCCGGGAAGCATTTGGTTCTGAATTAGGATTTGAGGCCAGAGCACCGGAAAGACTTGAGGATTGAGGATGCTGCGAGCTGGGGAGGGGGGGGGGGAGCCACGACTATACTTCGCAGAGTGCGCCGAGGTTTAGGGTGAGTGGTCCGGAGGCTTTTGGGCCAGGCGGGGTTAAGTGGGAGGGGAAAGTTTTCCTGAAGCGGAAAGCTCTTGCCCTTTGGGAAATTCTACAAAGTGCCCCACTTGCATATTTATCGCCAGGCTAGAAAGACAATTGTAAGGTTGTTTGGGGAAGGACAGTAGTTCGTTAGCTTGCCCCTCCTCCATCGCCATCTCGGTAAGGAGAGAAGCCAGTCTCATGAGATTTTGGAAGATCTCTTTTCTGCCTGGGGCAGACACAAGTGTTGGAATTTTGGATTAAGGGAGTCAATAAACCCGTCATTTCCAAGATAAATTGCCTCTGTGGTGGGGGAGGGACTTGGGCATATTTGCAGTCCGTTAACAAGCAACCTGCTCCCCACACTTTTCCATTTCCTAGGGAGTTTTTATTCATTGAAAGCGGTCAGGTTCCTACCCTTCCTTTCTAGGCCAGCGTTGGAGACATTTTGGTATTAGGATTGCCAAAGCCTCCGGAAATATCTGCCCTGGTATGGACAGTTTTAAAATGACTGATCAAATTGCCCACCTCTTAGCACAGTGTGTGACTACTTCACCGGGATACAGAACTCAAAGAATTTCCTCTAAGAATTAGTTTCCTAGCCTGGTGGGGTGGCCCATGCCTTTAGTCCCAAAGCTCAGGAGGCAGAGGCAGATGGATTTCTGAGTTGCAGGCCAGCCTGGTCTATATCATGGAGTTCCAAGCCAGAGAGGGCTGCATAGGATGAACCTGTTTCAAAACAAACAAACAAAAAAAGCTTGTTTTTTTTTTTTTTTTTTTTTTTTTTGACTGGAAAAGGACGAAAGCCATTCAAGAATGAAATGATCGTCCCTACCTTCTGTGTTAGACAAGCACCATATAACTGAGTTGCCTCCCCAGCCGTGTGTACGGTTTTAATTACTTGAAGACACACATTGGGCAGTGGGCTTGTAGGACCAAAGAAAGGGCAGGTTTGAGCGTGTGCCCTACCCAGAGAGGAAAAAATAAAAACCACAATAAAACATCCAGCAGCATACGTTATGTCTGCTCTGTGCAAGACAGACAAGAGATAAAACACTCCTAGTGTGTACCTTCCAGAACACGCTAGCAGTAGTGGTTACGTGTCTATGGACTGCATCTGTAAGTTCTGCAGAACTGTGCAAGCTTGGGAGTTTTTCATTGCTCTGGGCTCTGGTTTCCTTACCTGTAAAATGAAGATATTCGTGCTCTCTGCCTGATGGGCAAAGGGTGCGATGCAGAGACCATGATGGTCCCTGGTCCGGCAGGGGAAACACCTGCAGCCCTTCTGTAGAGGAGAATGAGGACCAAACTGGAAACGCCAGCAAAGATGTCATTGCTGAGCTGGGAAGGGTTTCTGATTCGGATTCCAGGGCTGTGGAAATGAGGGGGACTGCTCTTAGGGTGATGCGGGCAAGCCCTGTGCTTGAGTAAGGAATCAATGTTCTGGGGAGCAAAGGACAGGAAATGTGCCGGTTAGGATCAGGGACAAGTTGGCAGCATGGAGCTGGAAGTGAAGCCTAGGAAAAGACAAGAGCCGTCTAAGGGCCAAGCTACGTGGGCAGAGGAGTAGCTTTTGAAGGCTTCTGAGGAGGGAAGACTGAGAACATCTTACTCCTCAAAGCCACTGTGAACAACTGTGTGAGTTCAATGAATAAACAGAGTGGGGAGCCATTAGCATTCGTGTGCCCTCACTGACTGCCCCACAGGAAGTCATCAGACAGCCACCTGGGGTTTGACCACCTGGTAATGTTGGCTGTGGTGAGCGGGTCTAGGAAGAAGGCTTGGAACCAGGCTGGGAAGATGGAGCTCATCCCTGTTTGTCTGACATTTCATTGCGGGCTTTTGGGGCAGGTTGTGACGTGATCTCTTTAGGAATTCTGTAATTTAAAAAAAAAAAGCAGGTTGTGGTGGGGAGATGCATCCGTCTGGGGGTTCCAGTCAAGGACCTCATTTGCAGATCCCTAACTGTGGGCTAGACAAACCCTGGGCATAAAGGTGCCCCCTGTCTCTAAGTCTTACCCCAAACAAAAGTCTAGAGCGAACTTGGTGAGTTGACTCACTGTGGCTGGCAGGACCCTGGTGCAAGTAGGGACTAGCAGACGAATTTCCGTTTTCACCCCATCCTAATCTGTTCTCTTTTGGCCTTCCCCTCCCTTGTGCGTTCTGCAGAAGTATAGCCAGGGCTGGTGGCACAACGCTTTTGATCTCAGCACTGGAGGCAGAGGCAGGCCGATCTTTGTGGGTTCAAAGGCACCCTGGTCTACATATGCAATTCCCGGTCAGCCAGGGCTGTAGAGTGAGACCTTGTCTCAATAAAAAAGAAAAAGTATTCAACCTTTTATTTGGCTCTCTAGTGGGTGGTGACAGTCTGTGTCGAATGTGTGCCCTTTTTTCCTATCAACTTTAATTATGAAGAGTTTCAAAGACGAAAACATCTGTCACTTCGTCCCTGCCCGTCCTTACTGGCTTCTATCCCCCACCTGCCCGTGTAAGACTTTGAAGCGGTTTTCAGATATACTACAGTCATGTTCTACATAACTACGGGCCATACGTAGAACTGTGGTCCTGGGGGGTTTTAATGCTGCGGGACGTCTTAGCCGGCTCAGCTTGTGTAAATACACTCTGCAATGTCCATGCCGTGGCAAAATCGCCGAAGCAGGCTTTTCTCGGAATGGGTCCATCACTAAGCAATGGCTGACTGTATTTCCATTATAAGTGGTTCCAAATGGGCCCCAATCACACCCACTTGAATTGTGTGTTCACATTGTTAAACGGCTTGTAAATGCCTGCTCGCCTCCTCCCGTTTGTTTAATCAGGTCCGTGTAATGTCCACACGCTGTGATTGACATTTGGCATGGCCTTTAGTTGCTTTTCATTTACATACCTTTTCCTCCCCATTTTTATGTACTTGTAGGTTAATTGTTGGAGCAAGGGGTCTTTTGCTTTGTAGAGGTCCCAGCAGCATTAGTCACCTTGGGCATTTCTCGGTCTCCGTTAACTTCAAATGGATTTTAGGGATAAGGGTGTACCATCCAGCAAGCAGGACAGTCCTTGTTAAATGTAGCTTAAGTCACATAGGATTAAAAGAGAAAGTCCTTAGTGCTGCTGAACTGGCCGATTCTGCATAGAGATTTCCCATCATAGAAAGCTGCACGGGACAGCACCGTTCTGTGTGCTTGATCAGCTATTTGGTTTTGGCTTGAACATGTCACTGTGTGTGTGAGAAGGTGAAGGGTTGGGTTCCATAAACAGGCAGTGCTGTTTGTTACCTTTCTGGGATGGTAGGAGCTGTTGATGCTTAGGGCATAAATATTTTGGCATTGCAAAATAGTGATATTCCAGTTCTGTTCCTCTGTTAGCTGTAGCTGATATTGACCTTGAGGCCTTGCTCACACTAATCACCTGCCTTCCCGTTGAGTCACACCCTAAGAGACCTCCAGAAGACACAAGTCTTTGCTTTGTTTTGTTCTTAGGTTTTTCGAGACAGGGTTTCTCTGTGTAGCCTTGGCTGTCCTGGAACTAGCTCTGTAAACCAGGTTGGCCTCGAACTCACAGAGATGGGTCTGCCTCTGTCTCCCAAGTGCTGGGACCAAAGACATGTGCTGCCACCACCCGGAAGAAGGCATATTTCTGTAGAGACAGAGTTTTCCCTCACATTCTGTTTGGTTTCGTAGGGATAGTATATTAGGACAGTCAGATGAATACTTGATCCCTGTTTGGTGTGACTGTGTACACCTATAGTCCCAGCACCCAGGCTATCTATAATCCCAGCACCTGGGAAGCTGAAGGCAGTAGTCTCTGGCAAGCCAAGCTGTGTAATCACATAATTTTATATATATGTGTGTGTGTGTGTGTGTATGTATGTGTA